TCATAGGTTACAACAACCTCAAACTCCAGGGCTCAATGATTCTCTTGACTCAGCTTCCTGAATAGCTGGGAATATAGGCTTGTACTACCATGTCCAGCTAATTTTCCTATTTTTAGTAGAGACCAGATCTCGCTCTTGCTCAGGCTGTTCTCAACCTTCTGAGTTCAAGCAATCCACCTGACTCAGCCTCTCAGAGTGCTGGAATTACAGATGTGAGCCACTGCACCCGGTGAACATGTCAGCTTTCTCATTAAAGTTTAGAAGTTTGCTTTTAGTCTGATGGTATATAATCTCTAAAGCTATCAGAAATTTTTGTTCAAGAGAAACTGTCAGTCTTTCTATTACATTCCTTGAAGGACAAACTTTAGACTTAGCCAAAAAACATTTAGAAAAAAACGCTTTCTGAGATGAATCAAAATAAAATAATGATCTATGAAAGACAAAAGTCCTAGAATAGCAATAGGTAATGGTTAAAGAGGTGATTGATAAAGTTGGTTGTTTTTGTGTTGTACAACAATTAACATAATAGCTGTAATTATAGGATAACATATACTAAAATATATAAATATTTTACAGTATTGGAATATATCTTAATATGTATATACAAACATAATTTAAAACAAATTGAATATTTTATACTTGACAGTGTTTTCTGTATAGTTTTAACACAGTAAATAAGCTTAACACATCTCTTTTAGACTTTTAGTGGTCCTAATATTTAAAAGCGAATTTGAGGCCAAAAAGACAAAATTTAGAATTTTGATTTTGGAAGGTTTATCAAATATTGAAGGCTTAAAATATTTATTCAAGTAGGATCCTAAGTCAAAAGGTTCTAAAGGCAATATAGGGAGGTCATATGGGTATAAACTTTAACCTTTTTAAAGTTTAGTTTTCTCTAGTTAGCCAAAACTCTAATAATGGCAACACAGAGATTATCTTGATAAGGCATAACATCTTTGCTTCTTTGAGGCCAGTTACTTAGAAGGTTAACAAAGAAAAATCCTGTGGTGACATTTTTTAAATTAAAATTAATTAAATTATCAAGAGTGAAATAATATTTTAAGAAAACTTTGGGGCAGCGCCTTTGGCTCCAAAAGAGTAGGGTGCTGGCCCCATATCCTAGAGGTGGTGGGTTCAAACCCATCCCCGGCCAAAATAAAAAAAAAAAAAAGAAAACTTTGTTGTTTTGATCAAATTTTATAAATTATAGTAAACTGGATCATATGTAAATTTCTTCATAAATTCCCTCTTATCCTCATAAAAGGGCATTCAACCTGCACAGACAACCTGCAAACATGTTTAAAAACTTTTCTTTTGTCTTCACTTTCTCTTTTCTTAAATAACTGGTCATTTTATTTTAGGAGAAAAGTTTACTACACAGATCTTTTCTTCTATAATACCACTTTCCTTTCTGTTTAATTCTTCTTACTAAAAAAAGTTTTTATAAAATAAGATCACAGTTTATTGTAAAGTTAGTCATTTACTTAGTCAAACTGATAATTAAAAGATTTTAAAAGGCAAAAATCTTATTTTTTGACAGAGAAGAGTCAGTTTTCTAAACAATCATAAATAACTAAAGTATTATATCTTATAAATTACTCAGACATATTATGATTATCTTTCTAATTTAACATAATATGACTTTAAGGTTTTAATTTACTGAAAAGCATTTTGAAACTATAACATAGGCACTCTCCCTGATCTTTCCTGGTCCTAAGTCTCACATGGCTACTTGGCATCAAAAGTGGCTGCAAAGGACAGGACCTATCTTGTCCTTAATTCATTCATCAGATACAAAGACAGAAAACAGGATGACTAGAGGATTCAATTTCTTTTCTAATTACCAGGGCAAAACTGGAACAGGGAAGAAAGGGTTGTATGGGCTAGACTGTGCCTTGTAGCTGCTGGCCTAGACACAGAGAACATGTCCCTAGGCTTTACTACAAACACCCATCTGACCTCAGAATTTAGAGGCTCAAAATTAAGAACATAAGTTCACAGTCAAATTCAGCAAAGGTTAGAAATATTACACAAGTGGCAATTTTATAATCTTTAAACAACTGAGCTTTCATACTAGTTTTAAAACTAGTTTTATTTATCAAAGATTACCAAAGTCACATGAGCAAAAAGGCATTTGAGTTGTTTTCTGTTTTCTTGGTAGAATATTTGATTGAAGTGATTACCTTTTTCCCTTTTCAAAAGCCAATTAATTAGAGAACTTTTCCATATTTTGGTAGTGAAATATCACAGGCACATGACATATATAGACAGAAGCAGAATTTATGTTTGCTGGTTTTTAAACATATTTTTATTCAGACTATTAATTTTTTAATTATGTAATTTATTTATCTTAGCAGTTTACCAAGGTTTTAGTTACCATTTTAAGTTTTTTCTTATTAACCATTTTTACACCCTATAAATTAGATGTATAACACAGACCAGGGATTAAAATACAGTTTTAATTACTGCTTATATATTTTTTTCACCTTGCAAAAATGGAGCATTTATTTAAACACAGTATGATCTTAATTTTATGAAAACATAAACCTATGGTAATAAGAGCAAATCAAACAATAAGTGCTTGAACCAATTATTTGAATTCATAAATTACTATCTTTAGCACATTTAAACTAATTATTACATTTAGCAAGAGATAACAATATGACTATAATAAGCTAAATCCAAACATGAAAAATAAGTTTAATGTAAAAACAAGTAACATTTTTTTTATTCATGTCTCTTAGCTGGCTCCCTGACCTACAATTAGTTACTCCTAATATATAGATATTTCAGGAAAAAGAAGCTCCATCCTTCTTCTTTAAAAAGAAGTTAAATAATAAATTTCAACTTTTTTCTGTAGCCCTTCTCCCCCCAAATTATCCATCCTAGAGTGTTTCCATTATCTTGCTGGTAGATCCTACAAAGTGTCCTATTTGTCCATGGACATCTCCGTTGGAGCTTTAAATATGATTAGAAAAACAGAAAAGTTCAAAGCCGTTGGAAATGCAGCAAACTGCCTAAGGATGCCAGTCGAGATTTTTTTGTTGAAAAATCCTACTTCTTAAAAGTCAACAGGTCAAAATTATTCACAGCTGGAGGTAAGGCTCTTCAGAAGATGAAAGTATGCTTACCATACTTCAATCAGCAGATTTAAAATTCTCCCAGGCATAATAGGATAGAAGTGGCCCTCGATGGTCAAATAATCAATCACTTCCTTGATGGATTTAATGCTCAGGCCTCAGAGCTGACTCTGGAGTTCATAGATGCTTATCCCTTTCTGTTGAGGAAACTCATGAACCAAATGTAGCACCTCCTTCGAGATGAAGTTGAGGCAACATTTGTCATATTTGGCATCATCCACAGGCATACTTTTCCCAGTGGTCTCTTGACAGCCTTTATCCAGAATCATGTGTGCATTAACCATGTCTAGAATATGCACAGTGAACTCGTTCATGTCCTCCAGGACACGGATTTTTAATATCTCAAGACTCTTTGCCCCTGTGGAACCTTTAAGGATGCCAAACACTTTAGCATATATGCCAACTGGCAGCTTGCCTTTATCTCTGCCAAGCCAATGCCAGGTCTCAATTGGCTTCAAGGTCATATTATCAATTTTGTAAAGAATGCAATTTGGAGCTCTGTCTGCCTGTCTTATTATTCCCACAATGGAGACCTGGGAAATTACAATTCCCCTAACCTTGAACACATTATCAGCCAGGTGAGCAGCTGGCTTACACAACAAGGTAGAATGCTCTGGATTCGGACCTTGGGTCTGAGGGTCTTCCTCTCTGGAGCTGTACTTCCCTCAGATGGCTGGTCCCTGCCTCCACGAGCTCCATCTTCAGCAGAGATGCTCCCACAGCTTTCAGACCCACTCTTATTCATCTTAAGGATAGCTGAGGAAAAGGAGGTGACATTTGGCTCTCATCAGAGAGCTCCACAGACTGAATTTGAGCTCCACCAAGGGCTACTACCAAATGCTGGGGGCTTGACACGACCAGCTTCACACTACCTATGTAGACAATCAGCTACCACACTGCAGCTGCCTCTAGCCAATTGGGACCTGTCGGGTTCTCACCTGATCCCACAACTCCTTGGGGTGTGCTAGTGGTTGCTACATTTTAAAAGCTCTGCATGTAATTTAAAGCCTTTAGTGCCACGTTCATAAAAATGCGTTTTTACTAGTCCCACTCCATTTCTGAATGCTGCAACTTCTCAGGTTTGAAAGGAATGAAATCATAAAACCAAAATACTAAGTTTCAATTAATAAATTACCATTTATTGAAGACTTATTAGGTACCAAGAATATTACTAAACTCTTGTACATTAGAGTATTTGTAATTCTCAAACAACTCTTTAAAGTAAGTACCATCTCCCCTTACATATGAGAAAACCAATTCAGTGGTGGCCCAATCCATACCCAGCTAATAAGTAATAAAACCAGGGTTCTAAATATAAGTCTGCTTTGATTTAGTAGATAACTCTTATTTCTACCTGCCCAGCATTCCTTCCTTATTCTGGCAATTAACCCAGGGTTTTCTTTTGGGGAACTGCCCCTCCCTGTCTTGGGGTAGAGGTGAGTTGTCAGTTATATGGCTTCATTTTCCCTAGCATGGCAATGGAGGATATGTGATCCATTTCTGGATAGACTTGATTCATCACCTTTGGGTTAGTTGCCATTACTTAACCATTTGAGTTCTTATATCTAAAATTTAGAATGGAATAGTGAAGCATTAATTCCCATGCCAGTGTCAGTGGTGCTCTCTGCATGTGGTCAAAGGTGAATATAATTTGGTAGTAACACAAGTATTGAGCTTACTCTCCCCTAGACTACCCTGTGGGGATGGTTGTGAGGATCAAATGACATAGTATTCAAGAGCTGATAATTAAGTTCACAAACTTCCCAGCAGTTATAGTGGCAGCACTGTACAAACTCAGTAAGGTTTTATAACCTTGATATATTAGTGTTTCACAGCTGTGTTCATGCCAATGTGTAGTGGCATCTTGCTGAGTGATGTTCATTATTGTTGGGTGTTTGTGTGTGCCCTTATGAGAATGTCAGAGCTTGAATTAGAGAAATGAACAAATATTTGTAAATTTCTTTTTCCTTTTTATTTGAGACAGAGTCTCACTTTATCGCCCTCAGTAGAGTGCCATGGCATCACAGCTCACAGCAACTTCCAACTCCTGGGCTTAGGTGATTCTCTTGCCTCAGCCTCCCAAGTAGCTGCGACTACAGGCACTCGCTACAATACCCAGCTATTTTTTTTTGTTGCAGTTTTGCCAGGGCCGGGTTTGAACTCACCACCCTCAGTATATGGGGCCAGTGCCCTACTCACTGAGCCACAGGTGCCGCCCCATTTGTAAATTTCTCATTGAACTTGGAAACAGTAGAAGTGAAATTAGAGATACATTAGTCCACATTTACAGGGATAATGCCATGAAGAAAATGGCAGTGCACAAATGGATTATGTTTTTCTGAGGGGAGAGAAAGTATCACTGATAAAGAGAGGTCAGGGCAGCCAGTAATGCACAGAACTGATGAAAACATTGCAAACATTTTTCATATTTTGTGTCAAAATCATCAGCTGATTATGAGAAGCACAGCAGACTAAGTAAACACTGATAGAGAAAATAGTTAGGAAAATCTTTTTTTTTTTTTGTCTTAGACATATTCTCACTCTGTTGCTCAGGCTAGAGTGCCATGGTGTTAGCTTAGCTCATAACTTGAATCCTGGGTTCAAGGGATCCTCCCGCCTCAGCCTCCCCAAGTAGGTGGGGACAATAGGTACCTGCAACAATGCCCAGCTAATTTTTTCTATTCTTAGTAGAGATGAGGTCTTGCTCTTCCTATGGCTGGTCTTGAACTCCTGAGCTCAAGTGATCCTCCTTCCTGAGGCTTCTAGAATGCTAGGATTACAGGCATGAGCCACCATGCCTGGCCAGTTAGTAAAATCTTAACTGAAAATCTTGGTATGAGAAAGGTGTGTGCAAAAATGGTCCCAAAGGAGCTCAAAAATGAGAAAAAATTGAAGTTTGCCAAGACCTTTTGAAGAGGCAAGACAATGTTTTGGACCATATTGTCATTGATGACAAAACATGGGTTTACCAATATGATCCTAAAACAAAGTGTTGAAGTGCATAATGGAAGTCAGACAATTTTCCATGACCAAAAAAGTTCCATCGGTTTAAATCAAAAGTCAAAATGATGTTGCTAACTTTTTTTTGATATTGGAGGGATTATTCATTATTAATTCATACTAACTGTACAAATGGTTAACCAAATTTACTATTTGGAAGTGCTAAAAAGGTTGCGTGAAAAAGTTAGGTGAAAAAGACCTGAAATTTTCTTTTTCTTTTCTTTTCTTTCTTTCTTTTTTTTTAGACAGAGTTTCACTACGTGCCCTCAGGCAAGTGCCATGGCATTAGAGCTCACAATTCTCTTGTCTCAGCCTCCTGAGTAGCTGGGACTACAAGCACCTGCCACAATGCCCAGCTATTTTTCTGTTTCAGTTGTCGTTGTTGCTTAGCTGACCCAGGCTGGATTCAAATCCACCAGCCTTGGTGTATGTGACTGTGCCATAACCACTGTGCTATGTGTGCCGAATCAAAAAAGACCTGAACTTTTCACCAACAACTCATGGCTCTTGCATCATGACAATGCATCAGCTCATGCAGTACTGTCTATGAAGGAGATTTAGCCAGTAAACAAATAACCCTTCCTACTTGCCTTTCTTCTTTCCCCAGAGATAAAGGAAATATTGAAAGAAAGATATTTTGATGACATTCAGGACATCAAGGGTAATATGACCATAGTTCTGATGGCCATTCCAGAAAGAGTTCTAAAATTGTCTGTAAGACTCAGACATGTTACATTCATGACATGTAACATGTTACATGACATTCAGACATGTAGCATGTTACATTCCAGAAAGAGTTCCAAAATTGCTTTGAAGGGTGGATGTCAGTGCATATCTTCCCAAGGGGAGTACTTTGAAGGTGGTGATAGTGATATTCAGCAATGAGGTATGTAGGACTTTTTCTAGGATGAGTTTATGAACTTAATTTTCAGACCTCATATGCAAAAGGACTGGCATATAATATAGCCTCAACAACTGTTAGCTCTTGTAGATTTGAGAGATGATACTAGATGAAAGACTTGTGTACCTTCTGAGTCCAGACTTTCTCTATAACATATTCCTTTCTATCCTGTAATCTAGCATCAGCAATCCCCATTGAATATGGTTGCTTCCAAAGCTGACCAGTGTGCTCCCAGTTATGAAGTCCATGGTTTTCATACAGGCCTCATCTTGCTGAGGGCTTCCATAGTATTTGACTCTGAAGCACAATCCATTTACTAAAAATATGTGGCTTCCTTGATGCTTCTCTCCTGTTTCACTTTCCTTTTGTGACTATCTAAAAAAAATTATGTGATGATATTTAATAAACAGAAAAAGATATATATAACATATGTTGTGAAATTCAATAATAAAATGAAGATTCATGAACCCATTGCCCAATCTAAGAACTATCCCATCTCTTTACTTTCCACATCATCCCCAGTGGTAAACAGTATCTTGAATTTTATTTTGATTTCTTTATTTTCTTTTTATATAGTTTTATGTCATATATAGTTATACCTGAGCTATATATTATTCTACTTCCTTTGTAATTTTATTAAAATGTTATGTAGTTTTCTGTGACTTCTTTTTTCACTTAGCTTGATTTCTCTAAGACTCAGACATGTTACATGTAGCTGTAGTTAATTCAATTTTACCTCTATATTGTATTCTACTGTGTGAAAATGCCAAAATTTGTCTACCCATTTTCCCGTTGAGTGGAAATATGGGTTGTTCCCACTAATGTTGAAATGAATACTTTTATACATGTTCACTTTTATAAGATAGTGAACATATTATTTTGAAAAGTCATATGAAGTAGGAATAATAATGCCTGCCTTACCTCTCTTACAGGTAGTTTTCAGGATAACCCAAGGTAGTCAATGTGAAAACATTTTCAACACATTAGGAAGAGATGGATGACATTCCTCAAAACTGATTTTGAGTCCAAGATCAAACTCCTAAATGTTGTTCTATATGCATACTTGTTTCTGTATACATACAGAAAGACAAAGAAATTTTCATCTCAATTTAAAGTACAAGGGGTGTCCAGAAAGTATCCAGCCATGTATGTCTCTATTTTCATATTTCATACTTTCCAGACACCCCCTGTGTTTCTAGAATTTTCTAATGAATTTTGGATTCTGATGTAGATGTTTGTTCTCTTACATGACCAGTGGCCTTTCCTTATTTCTTCCAGTAAGAACACTGAAGTTTTCCAAGGAAATATTTCTGTCTCAGTTTTGGAAGGCTCATCAAGTGCCCTGCTCATCTCAACAAGTTCACTGGAGTTTCTTATGGTTGTCATGGCTTTTGTTTGCTTGTTTGCATTGGTTGTTTGGGGTTTTTTTGTTTGTTTATTTGTTTGCTTCTTGAAGACTACTTTTACTTCTAGTAAATCTCACATGATATATTGATTATAAAAATGGTCATAATTGTATCTACACTCTTTGCAGCTCCTCCTATCAAGAGAGGGTATCTATTTCTTTACTCTTCAAATCCAGACTAGTGTTGTGTTTTGCTTTGGTCAACAAACTGCAGCAGAAGTGATATCGTGTCAAGTATAAGCGTAGACCCTAAGAAGCCTTGCATGCTTCTCACTCTTTTGTACCCCTGTAACTACTGAGTGAATGAGTCTGGGCTAGCTGTCTGGAGGATGAGAGGCACAGTTATCCAGCTATCCAAGCCAGGACCACCCTAGACCTGTGAGTCCCGGCCAACCCACCAGAAAACCACAGATAAATGCCTCCAGATCAGCAGAGATAT